AACCACGGGCCAGTCCATTATCGGAATGTAACAGGGGCAGTGTACAACTTGGTATATTCGTTCCATCCTGAATTGTGTCTTGTTAAAACACAAAAACACACAATTTCACATTGATTTATTATTTATCGAGTATAACAAACCAGTGGGATACTGTCAAAAACTCTGAAACGTCAAATATAACTTTTGGCATCACTGGCCTGTACCAACTCAGGCCTTTTATGTAGGTAAGTGCTGCATTCGTGTTCAAACATTTAAGCTCGGAAAGGAAAGACCCTCGAGACATGTCGCGCATTCAAGCGCATTGGTTTGGAAAGAACAACAAAATTGACCGGTGACAAAAACATGTACTAAAAAAAGATAAAAATCTAATTTTAGAAACGAGTTAGCTGCTGTGATAAAAGGAAGGGGTGGGGGTTAAAATAACGTGAAATGCTTTGTCTTCTTTTAAATATAGAATATTCTTTTTAATTCAACTTAGATGTTTACTATATTTACAAACAGACTGAGTACAATTATTGGGGGGATGGTTGGGTTTTGGTTTGGTTTTTTGTATTTTCTTTCAAAGTTGTTCCTCATAATCTACGTATAAGGGCATGTATGAGGTATGCAGTGTGACAGATGAGTTCAAGGTTAGGGTTGTCAAGATCCGGTTCATGCGCCCCTCCTGGGGCGGAGTTCTGGATTTCTCGCTCCTCAGCCAGTAGGACCACCTGGCTGTGCCTCATCAGACCTGTGCATTTCCCCAGAGTTCTAGACAAGTCTTCTATTGTCTGAATTCCTTTTTGTGTGAAATAAGTCTTTATGAAAAAAGTTTAGGACGGTCTCTCTTGGTTTTGCTTTTGAGTTCACTAGTTTTGCTCGCCTATCAGGCCTGACAAGGCCTGCATCAGGGATTAGGTTGATGCTGATGACAGGTTGATGGTAGTTTCTGTGAAATGTGTTTGTGATCTGTAGTGAGAGTAGGAAGCAGGTGGAAGAGAGTGTGGAGAGGTGGAGGTATGTTCTGGAGAGCAGAGGAACATCGAGTGTCAGGGTTGATTTGTGACAGAAGGAAGGGTTTGCAATGTGAACGAGAGAACTGCTATGATGTCTGGTTTGAAGATTGTAGCACTGACAAAGACAGGATGCAGAGATGAAGATTTTAAGCTTTTCACTGGGAGTGACAGGACTAGAAAGGAGTACATCAGAGGGACGGCTCAGGTCGAGCAGTCTGGAGACAAAGTCAAAGAGCTAAGGCTGAGATGGTTTGTGGATGTGCAGAAGAATAGTGGATATTTTTATTTTATTTTATTTTATTTTATTTTTTTGTTTCACACATGGTACAGCAGTAATGCATTCCCTTACACAACCTTCCTTTCAATTAAAGTAACACTGTTTCCATGCATGAAAAGGAGCAGGAAGAAGAATAAATTCTTATTGATACCTGCCCCCTATCTGTGATAATACAAGTAGGCAACCAAAATTACACTATGACAATTTTCTGCACATAATAAAACAAAACAAAGCAAACAGAACAATATACTCAACAATGAGCAATACCACTAAAAATCAAACTAAAAGGATCATTTTTCTGCAATTAAATTCTATTCTTTTCAACTTCTTCATATCGGTTTATCATTTTATTCTTGTAGCAGATTTTAAATTGAGAAACATTTATACAACACTTAAGATGATCACTGAGAGAATTCCAGTTTCTTATGCCTATGACTGTTGGACACATTTGCCTTTGTGTGGTTCAAGCAAAGCGGTGCTTAAAATAAAACTTCCTTCTGCTGTCCCCATTTTCTGAACACAATACAAATAAACTTTGTAACTTAAGAGGTAGTGTTTTATTTTTCGCCCTAAACATAATAGTTAAAGTCTGTAATTTCACTATGTCTCCTAGTTTTAACAATTTCGATTTTATAAACAAATTATTAGTGTGTTCTCTATATTTAACATTATGCATAATTCGAAGCGCTCTCTTCTGTAATAAGTATAATGGTTTCATATTAGTCACATATGTATTCCCCCATACTTCAACACAATAGCTCAGATAGGGTAGAAACAATAAAAATATAATATTCTCATTGTCTTGTAATCTAATATATATCTAACATTACCCAGGATATAAATACTTTTAGCCAACTTTTTTTTAACATGTTCAATATGTGATTTCCATGTTAACTTGTCATCCACTATTACACCCAGAAAACGGAATTCTGTCACTCTTTCAATTAATACTCCCTCTATAGATAATACTATCTCTTCCTCCTTTACACAGTTTCCGAATATCATAAACTTAGTTTTTTCCAAATTCAGTGAAAACTCATTTACATCAAACCATTTTTTAATTTTTTTCATTTCAATAACCATAATTTTAGCCAATTCTTTCAAGTTCTCTCTGGAACAATAACAATTTGTATCGTCTGCAAACAAAACAAAATTCAACCTTTTTGACACATCGCAAATGTCATTTATATATAAATTAAAAAGTTTTGGTCCTAAAACAGAACCTTGAGGGACCCCACATTCTATTTTCATTCTATCAGATGAATTGCCTAAACACTGCACATACTGAAACCTATTATCTAAATAGCTGCTTAACCAGTTCAATACTATTCCTCTCACACCATAAGTTCTTAACTTAGAAATCAAGATGGAGTGTTGCAGAGTGTCAAAAGCTTTTCTTAAATCAATGAATACCCCTATAGTATATTTATTATGATGTGTTGCTGATGAAATGTCTTCAATCCTGCTTTAATGCTATTGCTGTTGATCTGTTCCGTCGAAATCCGTACTGACTTTCGCTTAGCAGTTGATGTTTTTCAATGAAACTATCAAATCTTTGTGCAAAGAGGTTTTCAAGCACTTTAGAAAACTGTGATAGCAATGATACTGGTCTATAATTATTAAAACTATGTCTGTCTCCCGATTTATAAAGAGAAATATTGGACAAAGGATGCTGAATATGTGGAGCTGTCAGGCAGGAGGAAACGAGGAAGCACACAGATATGGATGTGGTGAAGGAGTAGCTGTAGCTCAAAACATGTGCCAGCTGATGGACGCTCAGTCGTTTTTTCAGACAAAAGACAAAAACAGAAGATAAAAATCTTTAAATCTTATGCGGATAAAGCAAAAAAGGAGACGTAGGCTATGACAAGATTATAATATAAGAGCTAACTTGAGCTTTTCTATAATCTTGTTAGCAAACATGAAATCAGCATAAAGTTTCGCATCATTTTTGTCTCTCCTGAGTTTGAGATATAGTCACCGTACGAGAGCCGGCCGTGACCAAATCTAATCACAGTAAAATAAACTTTATTCTGACGCAAAATATCACATTTTTAGGTGTTTAAGTGTTAAGTGTTTAAATTTCGTGTCTCCTCCCAACACAGTATTACGGGACTCGTCACCATAGCAACCGTGTAAAACGGAGCTTTAAAAGGATACTTATTTTAACCCAAACCACCCTCTGCTTGTAACAAAGTGAACTTGATTTTATTTTAAATATCCTAACCATAACAAAGTAATCTTTAATAAATACAGATAAAGTTTGGGAAAAACCGTGACGTCTCTATGTGAGCCACGATTTGCACCAACCTCCGAGTGTGTGTGTCATTATTAGTAGTATGCTCCTTTCACGCACGTGGTACACATCAGTAGGCCTACATATGTAGACTGGAGGTCGGGTTCACGAACTCCCTGAAACTGAGCTTTGGATTTCTTAAAAAAGCTGGGATGATTAGCTTGTTCAGTTAAATGGAGTTCCGGGATGATTTTGGGTCCTGGGAGAGGGTCAGTCATTACAGGAAATGAAGCTACTTTGACAAAGATGACAGGACTGAAGAATACGGATGATGGGACTCCACAATTTGTTTTTAATTCAGTTCCGTTTTATTCATATAGCGCCAATTCACAATAACAGTCGCCTCAAGGGGCTTTAAAGACCCCAAGAGACAGATGACCGCCTAGTAAGCACTTGGCGACAGTGGGAAGGAAAACCTCCATTCTTACCAGGAAGAAACCTCCTGCAAAACGTGAAGAAGCCTCTTGGGTGAGAGGCGAAACACCTTTGCGAACCCAAAAAAGTCCAGTTGCCTCCTTTCTTATTTTCAAGCTTTCAAAAGCTCAATGACTTTTGCAGGATCGAAAAATGGACCAGGAACAAGCGAGAGCTGCCATTTTTGCTCCTCTTTGATCCTGGGGGTTTGAAATTGGCCATGTCCTCTGTCAGGAGATTTAGTCATAGTTTGTTTTGTTGTTGTTTTATGTTTACCCCTCAAACTTCAAACGTTTCACTTCACCCTGTCTGAAAAACTGAACTAAGATAATTGTATCTTCAGCCTGTGCTCTTAAAGACTGACATGTTATTATAACATGTCAGTCTTTCAAGGTTGTTAGACTTGTACAGTCCAGAGAAATGTTCATGTTCGTCAGCTGGTAACAATTCTTCAACTAATAAAGCAAGAACCTACTACGAATATATAGCTTTCAAGCAATTTTAAAATACAAGACTCAAATGATGAAACAACAGATATGGAGGACTGGAGGGAGGAGTGACAAATAACACGAGAAATCAAACAATAAACTAGGACTTAAATGCAGCGAGAACAAGCTTAAAAAAGAAAAATACAACATCCAGCGGTCATGGTCCCCGCTTGTCTTCATTAAAAAAAAGTGAACCAACTGTACTTAAAAAGAAGAAAACTGACTTTGTTGTTGGACACGAATTTGCAGCACATACTCATCTGAACATCATATATTATTGAGTGACAGAACAATGAATTCACGAGACCACGTGGTCATGTGACATGACAGCGATATTAGTGATAAACAGGGGGACAACACATCTTATCACGAGCCTACAATTTAAATTCATTCATTCTAAAACAAAAAGCGTTTGATCGTCAGACATCGCCTCTCCTCTCTTCTGTGGCTGTGGAGGGTCCTCCCGCACTGCGAGCGGTGCTGTGCCGAAGCTTTTTTTTTAATTTATCATCATATGCTGCCTGCTTCGCAGCACACCGCACGATTTTTTTTTTTAAATCACCATTTTAAGCAGCGCTGACGCATCAGAGGGCTTCATGACTGGGACAGTGTGTCGGGGTATGGTCAGCTCCTGATGGCCCATGTCTTCCAAAACCAGGCAAGTATCGCCGACAAGAGGTGGATGGTTGTGCATGCATAATGCGCAGTGTGAGCGGTGAGGGGCAGAGCGGCGGGGGGTGTCATCCAGATGTGCTGGATGTAGTCTGTGAAGGTTCACAGACTGGACATTAAATATCAGGATTATCCGATGGTTCAGGGTTTTTGTCGAGGAAATCCTGCACGCGTTTACTAATCTACAGCGAAGATCAATCAGAAAAAAAAGAATCAATATTCTGCAGCTACAGGCGTGATTTATACAACCCACGCTACTGTAATATTATTAATATTATTGTTGTTGTTGTTGATAAAATTCTCTTAAATTATTACAGAGGTGTGCGTGCCACCCCACCTCACACAAGATTTTAAAAACTTAAAAGTATTTCTTGGTGATAATGTTAAATATTACTGTTATTATTGTTCTGTTATTGTAAATTCACTTAATTTAATAAGTGTCAGGGTTCTATGTTTCTATTTCAAAAGTCCAAGTTTAGTTTTGTTCACCTGGTTTTATTTTATTCTATTTCATTTTTAATTCAAGAAGATCAAAGCTCCCTGTGAGGTAGGGTGTCTATTATTTGTGTGAGGGTTTTTTTTAAAAATTTAATTAAAAGGTTTCTTGAAGTAAAACTGCCATAAATGATTTAAAATTATATTTGGCTTTCTTAAAAGAAAGTGGAGTCATTTAAAACCTGTCACTCCACTGCAAGTCATAAAAAAATAAAGACAAGAGGGAAGGGTTCAGTTTTGACACGTTAAAATATATTCAGTTCAGGCTTATTTTCTAGTCCGGCACCCTGAACAGTCACCTCAAAGCGCTGGTGCTATAAGGAAAAAACACAACAGTATTTAAAACAAAACAAAAAACAATAAATAAATACAAAAAAAACAAGCAACCTGTCAAAGCAAGCACTTTGCAACAGTGGGAAGGAAACAGCCCCTTTTAACAGGAAGAAACCTGAAAATTGTGGGAATATTTTCACATAGAAAATGATTTTTCTACACCAGCACCTGTCTGTTAGGGTTTTTTTTGCCTGGAGTGAAAGCATCTTAACTGAAAGCATTTACACATGAATCAGAGAAAGTTGCACATGTTAATGCATGTCCTTTTTTTGTTTTTATCTCCACAGATTTCCTGATATTGATTCTGTGTGTAATCTGGGACATGGACAGACGGAGCCCAGGAGACAGACAGGCAGACACCAGTAAGACAGTAACCACTGCATCGTCATCATCTGTCGTCACCATGGCAACACCCAGTTCCAGCACCCAGCCGCCCTCTACCTCCCTCAGCATCATCCCACCAGACAGACAAGCAGTCCAGGTAATAAACTGCACCTGCGACCGATATGTGTGTGGCTCGTTTAGTCTTAGTTTCACTTCACAGGTAAAGAGTCGGGGTAATAGACAGGAAGCTGCTTACAGTCCCTACGCACGGTGTGCTTGACAGGCAAAAAGTCCAAGCTATTTCTGTAAAGTGCACACAGAGGACTTGATTTAAAGGTGATCCAAGTAATGAACAGTACCACTGACCTCAGTATGCATTTATCATATTGATATACTGAATATTAATTGTCTATTGACTGTCGTTTGTCAAGCTATCAGGTATTACTTTTACGAGACAGTCCAAAGAATAAACAACAGTAGTAATTATGCATCATAGTATATACACTATATTGTCAAAAATATTCACTCACCCATTCAAATCATTGAATTCACCTGTTCTAATCACTTTCATGGCCACAGGTGTATAAAATCCAACACCTGGCATCCAGACTACTTCTACAAACATTTGTGCAAGATCAGGTAGCCCCAGTCCGCTCATGAAATTTCCTCGTCACTAAATATTCCTCACTCAACCGTTAGTGGTTAGTGGTTATAGTACAAAGTTTGTGACCTTCAGTAAAATCTGAAGGCCACAAAATTCATGCGGCCTTCAGAGCAGCTCAGTAGCAGTGTGTAGAGAGTTTCATTGAATGGGTTTCCATGGCAGCTGCATTCAAGTCTTACATCACCAAGTACAATGCAAAGCGTCTTATGTGGTGGTGTAAAGCACGCCACCACTGGACTCTGAAGCAGTGGAGAAGCCTTCTTCTGGCAATCTGACTGTCCAGCATTAGTGTCTGACCTCACAACTACATTTCAGGAAAAATCACCAAAAATTCCCCATCATAATAAACCCTATAGATTTAGAATGGGAGTCACTAAAGTTCATATGTGTGTGAAGGCAGACGGGTGAATACATTTGGCAATATAGTGTATTTGAACAGGTGATTAGATTTTGTTGTTAAAGTAGATAAATAGCCTTGTAAGGCTTTTAGCCAGTCTGAAGAAAATGTACATCGTGTGATCCAACAGGTGATCCAACATGCCATGAACAGACCTCAGAGCATGGCGGCCCAGTACTTGCATCAGATGTACGCAGCCCAGCAGCAGCACTTCATGCTGCAGACAGCAGCCCTGCAGCAGCACCAGCATCCCGCACATCTGCAGAGTCTGGCCGCCATCCAGCAGGTCGGGTGGTGTCTGTCTATGTGCTGTGTGTCTGTGTGAGGATCAAGAATAGAAAGTAAAACGTGTTCTCACTGCTTTTCAGGCTTCAGTCTGTCAGAGGTCACCTTCTTCTTCTACAGGCAGTTTGGTTCAGGCTGCGGGTGTTTCCCAAAACTCGGTAAGTGCTTAAGTGTGTTCTCACTCTGAGCACAAATACACACCTGAGCATATTTAGTTTTTGTCACAGCTCTCATCATGCCGCCCCTCATCCAGATAACTTTACCAGCATCTCCAGTGACCGCAAGGCTGATTGGTCGAACTCAGACATCCACTGCCAGCGCAGCCACAATATCTCAGCAGGCCATGCTTCTAGGAAACAGACCTGCCAGCTGTAACCAAGCTCAGATGTACCTTCGAACTCAGATGGTAGAAACCTTTTCATCTTTGATCTCGAGCTGCATTCATGCTGCTTTACTGTGTTGCCATTTTGAGTGCATGAGCAACTTTTTATGGCTGATTTTTAACCAACGTGGCGTCTGAGCTTCCCTGTTGCTTCTATCCTTGCCAGCTGATTCTAACTCCTGCAGCCACAGTAGCTGCAATTCAGTCAGACCTCCCCACTGTGACCTCCTGCTCCTCATTACCTACCTCCTCTCAGGTACAATCCTGCCACAGTGCTGCACAATTATGTGCCTCAGGCTGTTACAGAACATACAGTGGACCTATTATGCTCATTTCAGGCTCCATGTTATTGTCCTTGGACTCTCTTGCAGTAGCTTTGCTCACTGCCCACAGCTTTAAAGTTACTTTCTTCTGATTTGCTGCCCCTCTTGATCTCATCATTAAGGATATCCCTCCCCTCTTTGACATCATAAAGAGCAAAGCGGGTTGTGTTTTTTGTTTTGTTTCAACATTGCATACATTATTTAGACCAACGGTCCTCCAACCTTTTTTGCACCACGGACCGGTTTATGCCCGACAATATTTTCACAGACCGGCCTTTAAGGTGTCGCGGATAAATACAACAAAATAAAACTAGTACCGGTACCGAAAAAAAGAAGATTTATTCATAACACACGTGAAAAGACCCAGGAAAACAGAGTTAGCTATAAAAACGATAACAAAATAACGCTGAAAACCGATAAAACCCTGAAAACCATACATTTCACACCCGAGCCTCAACTCTCGCTCGCTGCTTTAGATCATAATATAAGGAACAGCAGAATAGGTCCACTATTTCTGTATTTATTTACGTGATGTCAGTGTGTTAGGACAAGGTACAGCACTGGCTCTTTACTCCATGACCAGAAACTTTTAATAACTGCGAAGACTAACTGTTAACCTCTAATACTCGCTGCAGAATCTGGCTCTGCGTACCCATTTGCCGGGAGCTCTGGCTACAGCCCACAGCGTCATCTTAAAACCTTCCACCGAGTCCCAGGCCCTGCCTGCAGCTACCTCTTTGTCCAAGAATCCAGTCTGTGGGCTGAAGAGCACCCAACTGACTGATGGCTCAACAGAAACAGCGCCATCTGATGCCACCTCGTTGGTGTCAGGACCCCAGATTATAACCCCAGGTGAGTTTGTGTCTTCCACGGTTTGAGATAACTGCAAGTGTAAGAGGCCAGAGACAAACTTAGGGTGGACACTTGGTTTTGGTTTGATACAAGCCATGCAGCAAGCATACTGATGTTCATGTAATGCAGATGTTTGCTTTTTTTGTCAGGTTAAGTTTTTAATGACAGCTCACCTGCTGGTTATTATGTTCCTCGTGCTCCCTCTGCAGCCTACCCTCCAGTGCAAACCCACACTCTAGTCAAGCAGCAGCTGTCCTGTCCAGTAGGCCAGCAGGTGGCGCACCACCAGCTCATCGTCCAGCAGGCCACAGGAGGGGCTCCCAGCAGCAGACAGTTGCAACCAATTGCCCTCAGAGTAGCACCCCGAGATACCCACTCCAATCCTCTTCCTCTGTCGGTTAAAAGACTAACCGCCTCCAGCACCCACTCACAACTACGAAACGAGCCCCCAGCCCTGTCTTCTTCTTCCTCCCCATTAGTCACCAGCATGCTTGCATCATCACCTCAGACTTCAGTCCCAGCTGCTGCCGTTCAGCCTCAGCCACCTCCTCTGGTGGCTGCGCCACAGCGTCGGACCTCATTCCCACAGAGCCAGCAGCCTCCACCTCCTCCTCCTCCTCTCATTCTCCCCAGGCTGCCCCAGAACCCCCCGGCCTCCCTTCACAGGGTGTCCCTGCACTCAGTCCGGGCTTTGGCTGTCCAGTCAGGACAGGTACTGCTAACGGAGCGGGAACTGCCTGTGGCGGAGGCTCTGGTCCAGATGCCCTACCAGAACCTGCCACCTCCTCAAACGGTGGCTGTTGATCTGAAAGTGCATCCAGTCAAACACAACGAAACTGCACCCGTGAGTCAGCACGTCCTGCTTTGAAGAGCTCCTGAGTAGATTATGAGTTGGTTTGAATGAGGTTTTGTTTTGTTTTGATTTTCAGTTGGGGCAAAAGTGCAACGTGAACAGTCTGAGCTCAGAGGAAAGGAAAGATCCTCCAAGTTCAGAACAAGACGGGACCACTACACCACCCAATCAAAATGGTTCAGGTACAGAATTATTCAGTTAACAGGATAACCTGCCTCCATGAGACCCCCTCACCCCTCACTCTTTATGCTTTTTATTGTGTAGCAGTGACGGGTTCATCCTCCATCACCCCCAGCCACTGGAGGAGTCCTCCAGTGGAGGAGTCCTCCCAGCTCACGACCACTGACAATAGCGGCAATAGTGGCACCAACAACCCTCCTCCTCCACCACCTTCTCCTTTACCTCCTCCCCTCCTCCCTGCTTCAGCAAAAGTCCCCAGCCAGCCTCCTTCTGCCCCTGCAAGTCTCCCAGGAAGCCCCAAGAGGTCAACCCACGTCCTCACACACCTCGTGGAGGGCTTTGTCATCAAAGAGGGCCTGGAGCCGTTCCCGGTATGTGGACGTGCCCTGTGCAGAAAGTTTACTGCTGATTAATGGGAAGCACTACAAAAGCACTTAAAATCAGCTTTAATCAATTATTTAATTATGTGTGTATAAACAAAATGAAAATATTTCTGGAGCAGGTGAGGAAAGGAAGGTGGAATAAAACTTTTCCAGGCATTTAAAACTTAAGTAAATGTCTCATTTTAATATTATAAACAGATGTAAATATGACAATTGAAATATGACATTGCATCACTGTCTTTACATTGTAACACTGGTGATGCTCTACAGTCAACAAATGATGTCTGTCACTTTATCAAAGCTGCTGGCATGGCTCATTTATGCAGAAGGTGTCTTTTTACAAGGAAGCTTGATGCAACTAGTTAAGGCTATAGTGAGAGGAACTGGTCAGTGCCAACTTGCAATCTGTCAGCATGCAGTGTTATCGTTGTGCAGGACGTTAGTTGTGTGAAACCTTGTTTCAGTGAATTAAAACTTTTTTCTTTTTCTTTTTTTTCTGCCATTTGGGTTAAAAAAAATTGGTGTAAGGTTTTCAATTTTTGAATGTGCTACTCAATGCAGGTGGGTCGGTCATCACTGTTATCGGAGCAGCAGGCTTCCCTTCCAGAACCCCAGGACGTACCGACCAATGGGGATGCAGCAGACGACAGTCCTCTGGATGCTGACCAGTCAGATTCATCTGACTCTGAGATGGAAAATGACGGCCCTACAGGAGAAGGTGAGAGAGGTGTGCGTGTGTGTGTGTGTGTGTGTGTGTGTGTGTGTGTGTGTGTGTGTGTGTGTGTGTGTGTGTGTGTGTGTGAACATGCATGATTAACAGCTGGTCCTCTGAAGTTGCAGAACTCGGGGAGAGTGTGCCAGACGTGTTGCAGTGTGAGTACTGTGGAAGCAGCGGCTACGCTCGCACGTTTCTGCGCTCCAAACGCTTCTGCTCCATGTCGTGTGTCAGAAGGTAAATAAAACATTTACACAACGTACTAAGTTTTGTCCTCTAGTGTAATTATTTATTACCAAAGAAACATAGTTTCAGTGATTCACCCTATTAACATGAACAAACTGTAGGTTATTACGAGACGCTCATCAGCCATAAGCTCATAAGCTTTGCTTATTGCACCACATCTCAAAGGTGCTCTACTAGACTGAGATCTGGTGACTGTGGAGGGCATTTACAGTGAAGTCATTGTCATGTTAAAGAAACCAGTTTGAGATGATTTGAGCTTTGGGGTTTTGGTGTTATCCTGCTGAAAGAAGCTATTATTAGATTGTTACACTATAGTCATAAAGGGATAGACATAGTCTGCAGCTCGGGTAGGCTGTGGTGTTTTAATGGTGCTCAGTCGGTACAAGAGGCCCAAAGTGTACCAAGAAAATCGAGGACGAGCAATAGTTTTACAATCATCTATTGCAAGTTTTGGTGAGCTCCTGTGAACTAGAGCCTTAGTGTTTTGTTCTTAGCTGACAGGAGTGGTATCCACTGCGGTATCCACTGTGGTCTCCTGCTACTGTAGCCCATCTGATTCAAGGTTTTACGTCTGCATACCTTGGTTATAATGAGTTGTGAATGGCTATCTGAGTTGTAGCCTTGCTATCAACTTGAAACAGTCTGGCCATTCTGCAGTGTGATAGGCTGATTAAATATTTGTGCTAACGACCAGTTAGCACAAATATATGTGCTATGTGAGTGTACATCATACAGTAAATACTCAGCAGGGACTGAAATCACAACTCACAGGTTATTGTAATCTGGGAAGTGCAGAACGGAAAAGTGGCAGTAAAACGACCAATATGAGCAACCTGAGCACAGCTCAGACGAAGACCCATCATTATGGTCATCGTGTATGACTTTCACTAAAATCAGACCAATTTTTGTGACCTGAATGCAGACACCTCACCATCACGTAAGCTCAGTGGTCCTCCAGCATGAAAAAACAGGCGCTTCATCACCTCCATCCTGCTGCCCGTGACCATGAAATCAATCTCAGTTCACCATGTTGAAGGAAATCTCAATTCCTAAAATATATCAGGAGGACTGAGGAGAGAGGAGGCTTTAGCTATAATTGAGAATGCAAATGCGTGTCCACTGTGGATGCATTTATTTACCTTTAGCATATAAAAGAGTTGTGGGAAACAGCTGGAATATACAAGTCATAGTGGGAGGAGGATTCTTTTTAAACAAGTCATCCTTTTTTCACGTTATTTAACATGATCAAAGTTTCTGCCCTGCACAAAAAAGCACCATGTGTTAAATTAAAGTAATTCTATTTATTTATTTATTAGAAATTGTCATGAGCACAGTTATGTCTGATGTCATAAAATCCAGCTGTGGGTCTGCTAGAACAAAAATGACACATTTCATTGGCATCACTTTAAAATGAGGTGTGACATTTGTGAGGATGACTCAATTTTCTAAGTGCCTGTTCCCTCAGCTCATTTGTTCTCATGTCTCTTCCTCACCTCCTCCTCTCCCATCACCGATGGGAGAAAATAATGTGAAGCGATGGAGCAGATGCATTGGGCACTTGCAAACTATGAAATAAAAAGGGGTTAAGACATGCAGACTTAGGGAACAGGTAACCTAAATCAGAAATTAAAAGAACAAAGATGGGAAGTAAAAGGACATAGTAGTAGTAGTAGTAGTGGAAAACCACATTAGGATCCCACCTTCAAAATAAAACAGGAAGTACGCTGGAAGAAGCACTCACAAGAGGAACACAAGGGGTGTGTTAAAAAGAAACACAAAACAAGAATTTATGATGGCAAGAAAAATCCAAGAATCAGCGTTTCACAACACAGGGCCGATGCATAATACAAAGTCTGTGTAAATTGTAATATTTTATGGTTTGTTATGAAAAGTTGATCTTTGTCCGTGAGAACAATGATGATTCATTATTTTGAATCTTTTTATTTTGTTGTTTTCAGTGTTGGTGTGTGTCATTCGGCTGAGGTTCACCACACTGTCTTAGAGTCTGTGGAAAACATGAGCAACACTCACGAACTGTCTGCTTTAACAACAAAGCACTTTTTTCTTCCGCAGAAACTACAGAAAATTACAGTCTGTGTCAGTAAAGTTGAATTACATCATCTGACATCTGCAGCCCGCTGACGCAAGTAGATAATCACTCCCAGGTTTCCCCATTGAGTCTCCATCAAAGCAACAAAAAGAGGACAGCTCAGAGTCCCGATGCTACCTTTCCCAACTTATTCACAGACTTCAAGGATGATGTGATATAATAACATTAGGGACGAATGCACTTATTAACCATCTGTGAAGGTTATCCGTCATCCAGGTCATCATAGTTTTCAAAAAACCTAAAGAAGTCCAGACGCATTTCCTTCCAAGCTCTTAGAGCATTTATTTACTCTCAAATAACCCTTAAAAATCCTCACTCTTTTTACCCTAAGGAAAAGAGGTTTGTCAGGGCCACAGTTTGCTGCAGGATTTCATCCAGCAGCAGTGCATAGCTGGTGGGATAGTGTGTAGTTCCAGGGATCAAACCTCTGGCTGCTGGGGCGTTGCAGAGCGTTGCAGTTTTTGTGGGGGACCAAAATATGGGGTTGACCAAGATGGAGAAGAGATTGAGGAGTCTATCCTGTCACTGCTTCAACCAAACCTTTCCACTCTCACCTTCAGATGAGTCAGAGCTGGACTCCAGCTGGTCCATTTCTACCTCTGAGGCCTCCTCCATGTCAGCCTCAGAGTCCTCAGAGGAGGAGGATGCCATCTTAACACTCATGGTTCACGATCACTTCCAGAGCCTGTGTGTGCTGTAAAGTCTTGCCATCTCCAAAATGACTGCTCCTGCACTACTGCGCATACTTCTAACTGTGGCTGCCGTGCAGATGCATAAACTACTTGAGTGAGAACCAAAATAAAGTCCAATTTTGTTTTGGTTCCTGCTGCTGAGATATTGTTGAAGCTCTGAAAGGGTTCTCATCATTCACTGTTATCGAATTAGTTCATAACACCGAGTGTGGCCTTCTAAGAGAACAGACTTGAAGGTGGATATCGCACACATGCACACACATGCACACCATCATCCAACATCAGTAGGACACACACTTATCATTTCAGCAGCAAGGCACTTTTGCAGAAAACATCAAAAGTTGTATTTTCAGTGATTTTCAATTGGACATTGTTTGGCCTGAGGATAAAATTAATATCAGCACCGCCAAAAATACCATTTAAAAAAATGGAATGGCCCAACATGTCCCCAGGATCCTCTAAGGCAGGGGTGTCGAACTCCAGGCCTCGAGTGCTGGTGTCCTGCAGGTTTTAGATATCAACCTGGGTCAAGACACCTGAAGGAGGTCGTTTAGCCATTTAAATCAGCTGTGTTGGATCAAGGACACACACCTGTGCTCTAAGGGTTAATCAAACATTTCACGGCTGTTTTTGTTCAGGTTCAGTGTAAGCTGCACCAAGCGTATCGCGGTGCTGCATGCAGGTCGCATGGCTCACAGGCCCTTGGGAAGGAGAGGACGACCCCCCAGCCGAGTCAACGGAGCCTCCAGAGAGCACTTTGTGATGCAGGTCAGTAGTATCGTCGGCCTGATGCATGCATGCATGTATAAACTGTATGGACGAAAAAGATACTGGGTTACCTGCAGGAGCTGCTCAGCCACTGAAATGGATGGCATGAAGCTCCCTGTGAACAGTTTTTATCCTGATGTTAATCAGAGGAGGTTTGGAGCTCTGCAGTCACTAAAACTCCACGTTAATGTTCTAGGGTTAAAACGACATATATCGCGCTTTCTGCAGCTTTCCTCATGGGCGTAACTTTGTGCTGAACATTAGGGGGGTCAGGATCTCTGTCTCTCTAAATAAATAAATCTGGGTAAATTCCCAGATGATTAAACATGCAACTATTTTGCTGGTGTTAACAGAAATGAGTAAAGAAAATCAACAACCTATTTATGCAAGACAATTCATAATTTTATTGGGGGGGTTATATTGGCTAGATCTGATTATACCCCCTGGAAATTACACCGCTGGCTTTCCTGAAATACTCATCAGTTAAGTGTTTGTGTGCAAGTTTGGCAAACAGTAAATGACTAACTACATGTTCACATGACAAACAAAGGCAAGCCTGTTTGTTTAAAGAACAGCTTTGGAGGTTTTACTAATAGCACTTATCTACCAGAAGGACTTTATTGGTAGTTGTGTTGGGTTTGCCTCTCTTTGCTGTGAGTAAAAACGACATCGTATGCATCTTGTCAATTTATTCTCACAATCCAAAAAGAAAAACATATGTCATCTCTTTTGCAACTTCTTTTCAACACAAACACACTGCAGACACAAAACGATCTGCAGCTTCACATTTGTAAGCAAACCAGCATGTTGGACAGAATATTGGGGGTGATCGGGTCAGCTGGCAGATGGGGATCTCTAATGAAAACAGCCGAATGGGCTTTGCCGGTGGCCAGATTCTTAGATGTCTATCAGCTCTGGAAACAAACATTAAAATGACTCATGCAAAAATATGTTAAGGCTGCAGAGCTTTCAAGCATGTTGCCCTGTTATATGCTGTTTTAAATCACTCTTCATTCAAAAATATGAAGAACAGACTTACAGGCTGATGATTATTACAGTTAGGTGTAACAAAAATGGATTTTTGAAGGCTGATAGACTCCAGAGGTGGTTATGCATACATGTTTTTTTTCTGGTGGAAACAGGTTGGAAATATTTCTAAAAAGACATTTAAATGTTTATTTGATGCTTGAAACATTCCACGGAGCTCGAACCACGAGGTTTGTAAGTAAGTAAAATTTTATTTATATAGCACATTTCTAGATAAAAGATCACAAAGTGCTTTACAAGGTATAGGAACAGATTAAAAAGACAAAGTACAGTCAAAAGTTAACAAAATGCAATTTTAAAAAGATGTTTTTAGCTGTTTTTTAAAAGTAATCAGTGAATCAGCAGATCTTAAGTTCTGAGGAAGAGAATTCCACAGTCTGGCGGCCACAGTAGCAAAAGCTCGATCACCCCTAGTTTTCAGTCTCGTATACTGAATAACAAGTAATCCCTGACCACAAGACCTCAGAGACCTACTAGGGGCATAGGGCTGTAAAAGTTCAATGATGTATGATGGTGCTTGTTCTTGAAGAGCCTTAAATGTCAGAACCAGAATCTTAAAGTGGACTCTGAATTCGACAGGGAGCCAGTGTAACTGTATAAGCAACGGTGCTATATGTGAGTATTTCGATGTTTTCGTCAGAAGCCTTGCTGCAGCATTTTGGACAGTCTGCAGACGCTCCAGGGAACTTTTGTTTAGACATGTGAACAGTGAATTGCAATAGTCCAGTCATGATGAAATAAAAGCATGAATAACAATCTCCAGTTCAGTATGAGATATTATGGGGCTCAATTTAGAAATATTTCTTAAATGATAGAAGCAAGACCGAACCAGAGATTTGACGTGAATATCCAATGTAAGAGCAGGATCGAAGGTTTCCCTAGGTTCCTGATAGATGGTTTCACAAATGTTGAAAGGGGACCAAGAGCATTCATTATGCTGGGTACATGTCTGTCTGGAGCACATAAAAGGACTTCAGTTTTAAGATCCAACATTAAGAGAACAGAACACTTACCTGCATCGCTTTGCATCAGAATGTCATTGGAAACTCTAAGAAGGGCTGTTTCAGTAGAATGAGCTTTACGAAAGCCAGACTGAAATTTGTCAAAGATATTATATTTGTCTAAAACTGCTGTAAGCTGCTTAGCCACAATCTTCTCTAAAATCTTAGCAATTAATGGTATTTTTGAGATCGGTCTGTAGTTGCTAGTGAGAGATGGGTCCAGCATAGGCTTTTTTAACAGGGGGTATATAACAGCAGTTTTAAAATAAGCAGGGACTTTGCCAGATCCCAAAGAGGTGTTACTTATAGTGAGCATACAGGGACCAATAGAGTAAAAGACATTTTTGAATAACGATGCGGGTAAAATGTCGAGTGAACAAGAGGATACTTTTGTTGCACTAACTATTTTTCCCAGCTCGGATAGTGAAACAGGTAAAAATCTTTCTAAAACAACAGGCCGAACTGGCGTGGGAACTGACAGTGCAGATGCTGATGGGGACAATTTTTTCCTTATATTGCTAATTTTTTCTAAAAAGAAAGCAAGAAATGTTTCACAGTCTTCAGCAGAAGAAATAATGGCAGCAGGTGGAGCAGGAGTAATGATATCAGTAATAGTATCAAATAAGACCTTAGGATTACCTCTGCTCTTTGCAACCAACTGAGAAAAGTAAGCAGCCCTTGCATCTCTAATAGCATTGTTAAAAGAGGCTAAAAGATCCTTTAAATAAAGGAGATGAACATTTAAATGAGTTTGCAGCTCAAAGTCAATACTTACAATGAGCTATAACTAAAATTTATTTCAGACTGGTAAGAATTAAACCTCACCTGAGACACGGTCTAACACCTGCTTTCTGTTTGTTACTGTATGAAGTCCAGCTCTGAAATACACTGTGAATTTTTGTGTCTTTGTGCTTCTCAGGCCCACAGGTCATTTGGCTCCAAAGAGACCCAACAGAGTTCACCGAGAGAGGAAGATGAGCATCACGAGGAGGAGGAGGAGGAGGAGGAGGAGGAAGAACCTCCCGTTCCCATGACGACCAGGCTTCGAAAACAGGCTGAGAGAGCGCAAGAGAGGGTGAGGGAGCAGAGGACCGTAGAAACGATCATCGTTTCAGACGCAGAAGACGACGTCGGCTGTCCGTCTCAGTGGAACGTGGAGCAAGTGTTTTCCTACATCAGCACCCTGCCAGGTAATGCGGTTTTTCACACTCCTGAGGCACAGCTTTTATTGCTAAAGAAATGGCAAACATTAACAGTACGACCTCTGACCTCGCAGCACGTCTGTGTCGGTTTGTAGTTTGGTGTGTTGGGTTTGCTTTAAGGTAAGTTTTGCTTCTCTCTCGCAGTTTTTGACAGGTTAAATATGATTTGCAGGCATGAAAGTTTCATGTGGACATGTGCTGGTTAAGGGTGACTGCACATAGTGTACACCCACCAGCCACTTCATTAGGTACACCTGTTCAATTGCTCGTTAGCACAAATATCTTCAGCGACCTGCTTGAATTCAAGCTGAGCATCAGATTGAGCAAAAAATGTGATTTACTTTAAATTTGGCACTGTTGGCACATTGAAACTGAAGGAGATGGGCTTCGGCAGCAGAATACCACACTGGGTGCTACATCTATCAGCTAAGAACTGGAAAACGAGGCTATAGGTCACACAGAATGACCACTCCGGTTCTCTTTCCATCAGGTGGTGCTGATGTAGCCGAGGAGTTTCGCTCCCAGGAAATAGATGGGCAGGCTCTGCTGCTTCTCACAGAGGATCACCTGGTCAGCACCATGAACCTTAAACTGGGACCCGCACTGAAGCTTTGCGCGCACATCAACTCCCTCAAAGATGCATAAACGCGTAACATTCCTCCTCTTAGTGAATGTAAAGAAAAGCAAGGATCTGCTCACCTCTGCAGAGACAATGAGGAAGTGCTGCTCATCTTTAAACTGCCTATTTTTAAACACTGTCACAAAAGAGAGCAGAGCTCGCTGAGTTGAACTGACTGCAGTTTTTTGTTTTTTTTTAAAGACCACTGCCAACTATTTTTCCGGGTTTTAGCTTTCCATTACCCAAGGACTCAAAGTCGACTTGCTCTCAGATGATTTTAGTTTTACCTCAGCTGCTCTGGCTCGTTTCTCCTGATAGTTTCACGTTTACAAGTCTCAGCAGTGCATATTTAAGTTTCCCATAATCACTCAAAACCAGTTAAACTGCAAAAGGCTATATTTGCCATCTTTTGTATATTGAAGGATTAAAATGCAACATTTTATTACATTTAAATACTTAAACCAAAAAGGTACCATATAAAAATCCAACTCTTCGCAGCAAACCAGGCAACAGGGGAAGGACTATTTAAACACACAGGGTAATAAGGGAAGTGGAGACAGCTGGGGATATGATACACAGGTGCAGAGAAACTAGGTAATCACTGGGGAGGAGGTAAAACTCAAAGCAACACACAGGAGACCACAATCTATGAAAGTTTATTTATGCTACCAAAAACTTTTATTTTTTTTGCTGTCAATAAGTCAAAATTTGGGATATTATCTTATTGAAAATTATTTTCTCAGAAGTTTGAGTTGATAAGTTGAAATTCTGACCTACAGGTGATTTTAAAAAAAATTTGTTTTTTTTCACTTTATTTTTCACCCCAACTTAACACAGACACCAGAAAACTCATTTGTTACACAAAAGGAACACAAGAGTTTAGAATAATGAAGAGAAAATAACACAGGGACACACACAACCTGAAAGTTCTCACCTGGGACAGGAATCAAATGAGCACCAAAAACAGATTCAAAAATATAACAAAGGATCAAACTCACAATAGAACATGAAGAAATCCAAACATGAATACTGACGTGCTCTAATGGGTCCTTTCTTCACTGCCTGGCTCCATGGAGCCCAAGTGACATTTGCCATAGAAACAAACTACTGAGTACAATTTTTCAGTTACAGCAATCAAATTTTGCCTGCTGCATCAAATGCTTTGAAATATCAAAGGTAAATGGTAAATGGCCTGTATTTATATAGCGCTTTACTAGTCCCTAAGGACCCCAAAGCGCTTTACATATCCAGTCATCCACCCATTCACACACACATTCACACACTGGTGATGGCAAGCTACATTGTAGCCACAGCCACCCTGGGGCGCACTGACAGAAGCGAGGCTGCCGGACACTGGCGCCACCGGGCCCTCTGACCACCACCAGTAGGCAACGGGTGAAGTGTCTTGCCCAAGGACACAACGACCGAGACTGTCCAAGCCGGGGCTCGAACCGGCAACCTTCCGATTACAAGGCGAACTCCCAACTCTTGAGCCACGATCGCCCTGGTGAAGGTGAAAAACTCCTCTGCATCTTTCTGTAGTCTGTTGACTTTCACGTGGTCCGATATCTTCCTCTGCACTGACATGGCGCTCATTTTCTGTGCATATCTTCCAGTATGTTCAGTACTCACGCTACACCTGTGAGATCAGTGAGATTTTGACATTAGACAGAATAAAACAAACTCCAAGACCAATAAATTGTAGTAAAAATGTCAGGGATTGTGAACTGTGGGAGATAAAAAGACGTCTCAAAGGAAATTCATATAAAAAAGCCTTCCCATAAAAATAGGTTTAAAGGAAGTGGCTGACTCTACTGACATGATTTCCTCAGGCAAGGTTGGCGCCTTTGCCCAAGGACCCCGGGTGCATGCTGGTGCATATGGTGCTCAGAGGATAGAGATATAGCCTGGAGCAAGGCCATGAAGGGCCCTAAAAGTCATCCATAAAATCTGTTCTAAAACAAACTATGAGCTGATGTAGAACAGCAAAAAACAGCTAAAACTGGAGTTTCATTTAGTTCTGATAAACAGGAGTGATTTCCCTAAATGTCCTAAAATAGTTAAAGATGTTAACAGACGCTGAGACGGTCAGATTTCATTTATTTTTGAGATGAGAAGTGAGCCAAAGCAACAAAGATGAGCAGTTCTTTCTCTCACCGCTTGTCATTTCGCTGTAGTGATCGTAGCAGTTCTGACTCGAGTTATCCATTTGTTTCAAAATGGTTTTTAAATGTTTTTTTTTGTTTTGTTTTGTTTGTATCATTTGTAGACAAAGAGAACAAATGATCATCATTACATTCGACAAACGCGGTACAATCTCACTGTTTACAAAGCAGATTATTGCCTCCTGTCTTCAAGATGGAATTTGATACGTTCACCATCAGCAAACGGTTGTGCTGACTTATGAAAGTTTTGCTGACTACAAGGTTATTTATTGTTATTTATTGTTGTCATAATTAATATACAAATAAAACAGTTAGAAAACAGTGTTTTCTTTGTGTAATGTTTTATTTATTTATTTTTTTACTGAGATTTAGGGTCCTTCTTTATCTAAAATTCATTCTTTGTCTTTTCCCTTTTTTGCTTAAACTGGTGTTGTCAGCGTTTAATCTCGTCAAAATGACGTTAACGGCATAACTGCGAGGGGCTGCCCCACGCACAGAGCGATCTGTGCTTACTCGCTAACTGATATTTGCTGCGTTAATGCAACATCATTTTAACGAGATTAACGCTGACACTAGTTTAAACCTGTAAAGCCTAAACAATGAAATAAGTATCAGAATTTTTTAATTTTTAATTTTTTAAAGCGATAGTGTTTATTGAACCTCACGACAAATAAATAGACACTTTGTGAACAAATTAAGCACATAAAAGATCTGAAGTCACCCAAACTCTCAATGTGAGAGCCAAAGAAATGTTTATGTCATGATTGGGCTAAAATAAACCAATCAGAGAGACAACAAAACCTTAAAGTGGCCAAAACAACCATCTGGTTCATTTTTTTTTTTTTTTTTTTTTTTTTTTAAATGAAGGAATGCAAAGACCACAGGAGACGGCTAAAGTGGATGATGACAGAATTGTTTCACTGTTAACAAAAGCAGCCTTCCAACACCTAACTTCTTTAGGAGGTATTAGTATTACCGTTAAGGTCTACAATCAAAAGATGACTTCACAGATGTAAATACAGAGTGCTTACAACAAGGTGCAAGCCACCGGTTACACTGGAGAACAGGAAATTTGATTTAAGGTGAAATTTATTTATGTAACACATTTCCAGACAGACGATGCTGCACAAAGTGTTTAACAATATAAAAATGCCATTAAAAAGAAACGATGTAAAACAATAACAATATAAAGCAATGATAGGACAATAAAAGAATTAAAACTATAACTAAAACTATTAAATAAGACAAATGCTTGTGTGTTAAAAGCCAGGGCATAAAAATGTGTTGTTAGTAGTGATTTAAATGGATCAACTATTTGTGCAGATCTATTTTATATTAATATAATATTTAGGGGAAGACTATTCCAAAGTCTGGGACCTGCCACAGAGAAGGCTCTATCACCACGAGATTTGAGATGAGTCCATGGGATGGATAGCATTAAGTTTGAGCTAGACCTCATGGTTTTTCCTGGAGCATAAACAGAGAGGGGCTCAGACAAGTTTCAGCGATGGTGGAGGCGGTATTATGGTATGGGCATGCATGACTGCTGGTGTTTATATTGATGATGGGTCGATGACTTCAGCCCAACACAGCATGATTTTCAGTTATCAAATGCAAAGCTGAAGGCAGAGACAAAACCTAATTTGTCATAGTCCAGATAATTATGGACATACAGTGGGGCAAAAAAGTATTTAGTCAGCCACCGATTGTGCAAGTTCCCCCACTTAAAATGACAGAGGTCAGTAATTTGCACCAGAGGTACACTTCAACTGTGAGAGACAGAATGTGGGAAAAAATTCAGATGGTAGGATTTGTAAAGAATTTATTCGTAAATTAGGGTGGAAATTAAGTATTTGGTCACCTAAAACAAGGAAAATCTCTGGCTCTCACAGACCTGTAACGTCTTCTGTAAGAAGCTTTTCTGTCCCCCACTCGTTACCTGTATGAATGGCACCTGTTTGAACCCATCATCTGTATAAAAGACACCTGTCCACAGCCTCAAACAGTCAGACTCCAAACTCCGCCATGGCCAAGACCAAAGAGCTTTCGAAGGACACCAGGAAAAGTATTGTAGACCTGCACCAGACTGGGAAGAGTGAATCTACAATAGGCAAAGCAGCTTGGTGTGAAAAAATCAACTGTGGGAGCAATCATCAGAAAATGGAAGACATACAAGACCACTGATAATTTAGTATTTATTTATTTATTGTCATTGTCAAGAACAATGAAATTGCGTTTGGGGCTTCCATACAACCCAAAAAAAAAGAAGAAAATAATAAATACCCCTTAAAACCCAAGTGTACATATTTAACCCAGTGTGACTCCAATGCAATAAGACAATCCTTAGCAATAATGTTCGTAGAAATTCAGACAAAGACCTGAGAAACATGACAAAATACAACAATGCAACCCATTCAATATTATTGTACTGTGAGATATGATATCAGATATGATAGTTATCTATTTAAGAAAGAGGGGGGGGGGGGGGGCAGGAGGGGAAGAGAATAAAGATATGATGCACCAATGCAGACCAGTTCATTGCAATTAAGAAGTTGGATATGGTTATTGTCCGTGAGAGGGGGGCAGAGAGTTCAGGAGCCTCACAGCCTGTGGATACAGGCTGTTGGCCAGTCTGGATGTTCTGGCCTGTACCTTCTCCCTGAGGGCAGCAGATGGAAAAGGTGGCGCGCAGGGTGATGTTGGTCCCGCAGGATACTGTGCACCCTCCTCAGACAGCGAGTGGGGAAGATATTACTGATCTCTGGCAGACTTGTTCCAATAATTCTGCCAGCTTCTTTCACCACCCGCTGGAGTGCTTGCTGATCGGCCTTGGTGCAGCTGGGGAACCACACTAGAAATCCATGATAATCTCCCTCGATCTGGGGCTCCACGCAAGATCTCATCCCGTGGGGTCAAAATGATCATGAGAACGGTGAGCAAAGATCCCAGAACCACACGGGGGGACCTGGTGAATGACCTGCAGAGAGCTGGGACCAAAGTAACAAAGGTCACCATCAGTAACACACTACAACGGCAGGGAATCAAATCCCGCAGTGCCAGACGTGTTCCGCTGCTGAAGCCAGTGCATGTCCAGGCCCGTCTGAAGTTTGCCAGAGAGCACATGGATGATACAGCAGAGGATTGGGAGAATGTCATGTGGTCAGATGAAGCCAAAGTAGAACTTTTTGGTATAAACTCAACTCGTCGTGTTTGGAGGAAGAAGAATACTGAGTTGCATCCCAAGAACACCATACCTACTGTGAAGCATGGGGGTGGAAACATCATGCTATGGGGCTGTTTTTCTGCCAAGGGGACAGGACGACTGATCCGTGTTAAGGACAGAATGAATGGGGCCATGTATCGTGAGATTTTGAGCCAAAACCTCCTTCCATCAGTGAGAACTTTGAAGATGAAACGAGGCTGGGTCTTCCAACATGACAATGATCCAAAACACACCGCCCGGGCAACAAAGGAGTGGCTCCGTAAGAAGCATTTGAAAGTCCTGGAGTGGCCTAGCCATTCTCCAGACCTCAACCCCATAGAAAATCTGTGGCGGGAGTTGAAAGTCAGTGTTGCTCGGCGACAGCCCCAAAACATCACTGCTCTCGAGAAGATCTGCATGGAGTAATG